CAGTCATTCTGGATCACCCGGTATAGTCCGTAATGGAAAGTTCAAAAATGCAAATATGCATGTAAAAATATTGTTCTATGTAATTAAAAATGCATAATCCGAGCTCATATTGTTACTTTTCATTATAAAAGTTATTCGGTAAATTGTAATCAAATGATTACACCTTATAGGTACTTACCACAATTTTTTAACCATTCGGGATGATTACGAAAACAAAATAATTTTAGTCCTTTAAAATTTCTACGAGTTTTATCGCAATTTATATAAATACACTTATTTCCGCCAGCTAACGGCATTCTAAATTTAACTTGATGCACTAGTATTTAATTTCCACGCGAGCGTAAACTTCGTTAGATGGTTACAAGTACACGCAAAACGAGAGACTGACGTTCGCGCCAGGGGGGTGTCTCTCCAAATCGCGCATCTGGTCAGCTGTCTTGTGCTGTCATCTGTGAAACTAGTAGGCGAATTTTTCAACTGTCTGTCACCATGACGCTATGTAGAAGTCTGTAATCGCTAATCGGATGTTTACATGTTGCACTTGCCATGCGTCGTGTCATCCACGCGTCATCCTACCAAACCAACAAGTATCCACAGACCATCAACGGACAAGTATCTTGCTGCTATTTTTCGTTTTATGTGTACGTGTTTGAGTTTCTGTTGTTTGTCCTAGAGTTTTACCAAAAAAGATTGACTTTTAAACGAATTAATTCTTATTTTATCTTATATATTTTGTATAAATAGTGATACTTAATACCTAGTACATAGTCGTTAGTGATTAAGTAAAGTGCACAGACCATTAATTGTGGGTAAAATGTCTACTAAAACCACCCAGCAAACCTATCATGTTGCTGTTACATAACTGGGAAGCAATAAGTTACATAACATATGTTGCAAAACGTCAACATTGCCGCAATGTTTTAACGGCGATATTACTTTACTACATTTTACCAACATAAATGTTATATAGAATGCAACCTGGTTGTTACCTATCTGTAACAAAAAGGCATGTAATCAACACTGACGTTGCGGGTACAAAACTTTAACGTAAAACGTTATAGAACAAAATGATATATCTCATAAACATAAATGTTACATCTTAAAGATACAGTTTCATATCGCTTACGTTGAAGAGACGTATTACTTTTAACACCCTTTCAACATACTTTTTTTTATCTAAACCATCATATATGTTCTTTATGTAATTTTGCTTTTATGTAACCTGCCCTTAAAGTGGCGACAATCCTACGTGGCGCTATTGTCGGTTCGAGGTGTAAACTACTATGCTTCATATCAGCTAATAATTATAATAATTTATAATTAATTTTTCCTCAATTATTGCATTTAAAATATACCTACATACCAATCCTTTCGTAGGTATACACCTAAATCCACTAGATGGGTCTTGCGGCGGTGTCGCTTACACGTTTTTTGCGAAGTTTCTCATATTGTCATTTTTTTACAGTGTTTGTCAAACATTGTTTGACCTAACCAATAAATATAACCGGCGTGAAAGTGGTAAACGTGTTGTTGTTAATCGTGTTTCATCATACAAAATAAACTAATTGGGTAAGTCAAATAGAGATTAAACATAAATTACGTACGCAGGAAAATAACATAATTCTGTATTAGGTAAGGTACATGACCTTTCTTTCCATTTCTTTTATGATCTTATAATTCAGTGTCAAGGTTACAATTTCCTGAGTTTAAATAAATTGGATCGTAACGGTACATATATGTGATTGGATTTTATCATGAAAATGTAACAAAAGAAAGCAGCTAGAGGTCGATTCTCACTATACGTTCCGTTCAACTCCATCTCCTTTCCGTTTACATAAATTATTATCCGAAGTAAATGAATGTACATAATATTCACATCAAGTTACACTTTACTGCAATTTGCAAATAAAGACAAGATTCTTTTAACTGTGTTTTAAACTGGCCGAGGGCCATTAATAGGCGAGTCTTCTCGAACAGACAAGATATTCAAAATATTTGCTGTAATTGCTCAAATTAATTGTTTCAAAATGTAGGAACCCCAGTAGGAATATCAACATTAAAATTATCGATTAGTAAAGATTAAATCGTTCATAAGCGAATCGTAGGTAAATAAACAATTATTAGGCAGTTAACTTTAAATGCAACAGTAAATAGTTTACTTTTGTGTGAAAGTAACCATTTTATTTTCTTTGTGTATCTTATTTTGGCCTTTCGTCTTCAGTGTTACAACAACTATAGAACCACATCGACAACAACTGCTACCTAGATATAACTATCCTCGACCATCGATCATGCCAAAAGATTAGGTACCATTTAATCAGTAAAAGGCGTAGAAATCAGCTGATAAAGTTGGAGGTAGACCAAATTTCCAGAAGTGATAAGGAGAGACAAGACAATACAACAATAACTTTAAATACACCTACATCTGAAAACCAATATTGTGACAACCCAGAGAACAGCTCTTATGATGTGGAACCTCCTCGGGAACCTCTTATTAAAGAAGAATGTACTGTAGCTGTGCATGATGGTGTTGATTATGATGGACATGCTTCCTTGTCAGATTCAGATTTGTCCGAGGGCAGTTTACATCCATCTGCGAATGAATTTGTTACAACTTCATGTCCCAATGATGAAAATTTGAGAAAAGAATTGTCTGAATTTGTAATTCAATGTAATGTTACACACGCAACTGCAAATAAATTATTGCATATATTGAGGCGCCACGGACACGATTTACCTTCGGATGTTAGAACATTATTGCGAACTCCAAGAGCTACGACATGTAATTATTTGACCAAATTAGCTTGTGGAGGACTGTACGCTCATCTAGGACTGGCCAGTGGAATCCAGTACTCATTAAGAAGATTTTTTATAGATATACCAAAAATAATTAAAATTGACATCAACGTTGACGGCTTACCTTTGTGTAAAAGTTCATCAAATCAATTTTGGCCTATTTTAGGTTCAATAGTGGCAGACTTTTATACTAAGCCGTTTGTGATTGGCGTCTACTTTGAAAAAAAAAACCGGCAGATGCAAATGAGTATCTTAAACCCTTTGTTGAGGATTATTTACAAGTGTCAACAAACGGTTTAACAATGAATGGGGTACAAGTAAATGTAAAATTAAATGCTATAATATGTGATGCTCCTGCTAAGGCCTTTGTATGTGGTATAAAAGGCCATTCTGGATACTTTGGTTGTGGTAAATGCACCCAAGAAGGCGATTTCATTCAAAACAGGGTGGTGTTTCCTGAAGTGAACAATCCACTGAGAATGGACACTACATTTAAACGCAAAACCCAACCTGAACATCACATACGAGAGTCATGCTTAGAAAAATTAGGCTTGGAATGGTTTCACAGGTGCCACTTGATTATATGCATCTAGTGTGCCTCGGTGTAACAAAACGTCTTCTGCAATTTTGGGTTAAAGGTCGAGCCAATATTAGATTAAAAGAAGTGGACTTAATTTCCGAATCTTTTGTTAATATGAAAAAATCTATAACTGTTACGCCCCCTCGCACCCACACACAAACACGGGGTACGCCAAGTGCGCCACCCCACGCCAAACGTAGCAACCCCGCTAAAGTAACAGGTGCACGCGCACATGTTCCTACCCCATCTACAGACGCCCCCGCACGCGCTACAAGAAGCGGCCGACAGAGAGCACTGTAAGGAACGCCAACCCTCACAACACTAGCCACCCCAGTATAACCGTCATCAAGAAACTTCTCATCGGCAAGAAGAGCAACAGGCTACACAGTTGGGTTTACTCTTTAACTAATACCTGGGTCTCTGCCTTCATAAGCCATCGACGTTGCACATCTTTCCGTAAGATTGCCACGGTAACGATTGGTAGTAAGGGAGAGACTGCTCCTCAGACGTGATCGCGGTATCGTGTGTTTCCTTGTGTTTTACGAACTTATAAACTTCTTTAGTGTTGTAGGTGTATATATTTCATTAGTGTTAAGTAGTGTTACGTGTATATAATAAAACTCTAACCGCTAGCCTAAATTCGAATTATTAATCACCGACCCAACCCCACCAACATAACTAAGGAATTTGCCAGGTTACCTAGAACTCTTTTAGAAGTAGATAATTGGAAGGCTACTGAATTTCGCCAATTTTTACTATATTCTGGACCAATTCTCTTGCTAAATAGATTACCTAATATTTATTACGAACATTTTGTTTCTTTAAGTGTTGCCTTAAGAATCTTAATTGATTCAGAATTATGTTTTAAGTTAAACAAATACGCAGAATCCCTACTAGTGTGGTTCGTTAAATTCTATGGAGATTTATATGGAGAAGAGTTTCTGTCATATAATGTACACAATTTAATACATTTAGCTGCAGACGTTAAAGAACTGGGATCACTTGACAAATTTAGTGCGTTTAAGTTTGAAAACTTTATGCAAGAAATTAAACATAAATTGCAAAACTCGGGTAACTATTTGCAACAATTTGTAAATAGGTTACGTGAAGAAATGTGTCTTTCTGTAACTTATGAGAACTCTAAGAAGTATCCTATTATTTTTTACTGTAAAAATAATGTACAAATAGTTGATTATATTCAGTTTGATGGGTTTACTATTTCTAAATCTAAATATGATAATTGCATTTTATTACATAATGGTATGTATGGTATTGTAAATGACATTACTGTAATTGACAATAACTGTGAATTATGTATAAATCGGTTTAGTAAATCCGAACCATTTTTTAGCTTACCCTGTGATTCTCGAAAACATGGAATTGCTATCATAGATTTAAAAGAAATTCAAAAAGTAACAATTTCAGTAAAAAGCATTAAAAGGAAATGTATAATGTTCGATTACTCTAAATATAAATATGTTTTTTTGCCATTGTTACATTCTGATTAGATCACTTAAATTTTATTTCACTTTTATTTGTTTGAGAGAAATTGGAAAATCCTTATCAGCTATTTTTGATCATCCAGTACATACTTTTACGTTTACATTATACGAATGTTATATGATTTCTCTTATATTTGTGATTGTCATCTCTTAACTAATCAATACCAGTCATAAATATTGACAAACATTATCATAATGCGAACCACATTGTTTTTAAGAATTGAAAATGGCCTATGCAGTTGTATCATTCACGAGAACGGACGATGTAGAAGAAGAAGACTGCACTACCTCGGAAATTCCAATGGCATGGTTATTTGAAAATAACACCAAATGTTGGTGGCCGTCACATAGCAAAAATGTAGGATCACTAATTTCTAGAAATGTATCACCAAATATACAAAAGTGGAGTATTGAGCATGATATAGTTGTGGAGGCAGTGGGTGGTAATAATATGACAGCATTTTTTACATAAGTAAACAGTACTAATAATAGTTAATTGTAGTCTCTCTTGAAAAGGCCAGAAAACTGGCTAAAGATAATAATTATGTATCATCTGATGATGCTAACAAAGGACGAGGGAAACGACAAATTATTAATCCATCGAAATTTTCTTCCGATGAAGATGTGTCTGGACCTGTGTCTTCTAAGAGTAAGGGTCAAATTAATATTCTGTTAGCTAAATATTTTTTTTATAGATTGGCGCCAATTAACCAACATCTCATTACCTCCAGCACTACCAATGGCATCAACTACCTATACTGAATCGCCGGACAGGTATATCAAAAGCATAAAATTTACTCAATTACGTTTTATGTAATCGCAATTTTTTAGTCCACGGGTAGCTGAGGAAGCTGTGGGAGTGGAAAATGATATACAAAGTATGCCTGTAGTGATAATAGGCGAACAAAATTTGAGTAAGTGTTTTGCATATACCATAATGAGATCATTTTTAAATGGGATATTTTTAGCAAATGATGAAGAAATAGAATTTGAAGCAGAACTAGTTAACGTTGGAGATAGGGTAACTGAACATGCTGTAAATAGAGTGAATCGTAAGTATCTATTCTATTTTCTAAGTAATTCATCTTCATTCAGTCATGTAGTATAATTTACAAGTTATACACTGCAAAATGTGCATAGGTACATTTAGTTTTTAAATTAGATGTCAATTTTTTTATGATATTCTTTATTATAGGGGAACCAAACACTACTGACATTGAAGAGATCCTAAAGTCCATTGTTAAAGGTGTGTATAGGATGTTGTAGCATATTTCGATCACACATTTTTTTATAGAACAACATCAGCAAATAACTAGAATGTTTGTCTCTATTAATATTGCTTTGAAAAGTATTGACAAGAGATTGAAAACTTTGGAAATGGGGCGAGAAGTGAACACAAATGATGGATTAGAGGCTATGAAACAATTTCTCCCATTAGGAAATACGGATGAAAATAGCTTTGAAAATGTAATATCTTCTAATCCAGAGATTGCTAACCAATTTGTAAGTTTTATTGCCACTTGTTCAACACTTCTAAACTAGTGACGTATGTAAATTTGAAGGTAATATAATATATTATTTTACAGACGAAATTCGTAACAGCAGTCGGTGGCAACAGTGCAAAAGATAATGTCTCCAGAGTGCTTAAAAAGATTTTTACAAATAAATGTGCAATGGACTGCTCTTGGATGGGTCGGAAAAATAACTTTGCAGTTAATAAGTTACTCTGCATGGGCACAATAAAAGGTACGTGTTAAATTAATACCCATTATACTTTATTATAAAAATACCCCTATTTTAGGTATCATCGGCTCATTTTTCACAGTAAAAGAAAATGAAATAGAACAAATGTGTAGCGATTGGTTCCGGTTCGCCAAGCAACGACACAATCGTGAAAAGTAATACTCCTTTTTAAGTAGAACAATAATTTTGGTGTTCTTTAGGTTACATTTTTGAATTATTAGTATCCACTTTTTTTTAATGTATTCGTTATTCACCTCTTCTATTAATAATGTATGAAAGGTTATGTTAAACCATTTTCATTTATGTCAATATTTGTTTTACGTTATGTATTTAATAAATGTGTGATGTCTTTTGTTGTCACTTTTATTGCCTTCTAAATGTTACCTACATAACTGTTACCTGTAACATTAGTTTGCACGTAGAGGTTATGTCATATGGTTATATTACCGATATCTATATTTTCTTACATAATGGCAACATCAGAAGGTGATGATGTCCCAATATAATTTCGTTATATAGTAGCAACACAACAGTGTTACATGGTTGTTGTATATTTTTGCTATGTAACATCAATATAACTGTGTTAGGAAACCGTTATGCTATTACAATGTTTGCTTGAGTGGGAAATTTCAAGTTACAGGTAACTTACATGTAATACCCAAGCTATGTAACTGTAACATTTTTCAGTAACAAATTCATATAGCATTTACATAGTTGTAATATAACTGTGTTTGCTGGGCAGAACATGTTGTGTCCCTAATTGCGCCAACATTGGAAATAGGAGGTAATTATAATCTATTGAATAGCCAACAATTGTAACTGGGGCTAATTTTTTTAAGGTTTAGTATTCCTGTCACCGAAGAAATTAGGAATGTATGGTTGCGGAGAATTGGGAACGACAAACTATTTACATTAAAACATGAAAGTTTAAGTTGGTATAGAATATGCGGAGTACATTTCGATGAGAGGTGCATTTCCAATAACCGGAAAAATGCGATTGTCATCCCACTACCTAAGAAGCCGTCACCGTCAGATCGAAATGATTACAGGCCGATTAGTATATTGCCTACATTATCTAAAATTATTGAAAAGATCGTCGACAAGCAAATTAGAAAGCACTTGGCAAGTAATAATTTAATTCCAGATATACAGTCTGGCTTCAGGACCAAGCACAGTTGCTGTACCGCTCTTTTAAAGATAGTCGATGATGTTGTCTGCTACTGATCAAGACTACGCGACTATTCTGATCCTGTTGGATTTGTCAAAGGCATTTGACACGATAGATCATTCTATGCTTCTTGCCATACTGAATTACATGTGTTTCAGTAATACAGCTGTTGCCTTTGTCGCTAGCTACCTTTCTGATCGGAAGCAAGCCGTGAAAGTGGAAAATAATATATCCACATTTGAACCCAAATTTATTATTCGTTTCGTCCTTCTGATGTGGAAAATGCTTGCCAGTATTTAAATTCTGACTTAAATTCTTTGTATTCGACCTTTTCTGCACATTCCTTGCAACTTAACTCTAAAAAATCTACTGCCATACTGTTTTGTCGTCCTCATCATCGTGAAATGTTACTTGCTAAAATTAATATTAATATTCATAATCAAACAATTATTTTCAAAGACGTTGTCAAAAACCTTGGACTATATATTGACTACAAACTGCGGTTTAAACATCATGTATCTACTTGTCTCCAAAAAGCGTACGGCAACTTGAAAAAAATTTATCCTTTCAGATCTTCTTTTAGTTCAAAAATCAAATCTTTACTTTGCGAATCACTCGTCCTTTCTCCCTTAAATTATTGTGACGTTGTTTATAGTGCGTGTTTAGATTCTATCGATCAACGGCGAATTCAAAAGCTACAAAATGGATGCTTGCGATTAATATTTGGTATAAGGAAATTTCAACGTATTTCTCATAAGCTAAAGGAAGCGAAGTGGCTGAATATGCAAAAGCGAAGGGACCTGCATAGCTTATCGCTTTATCACTCAATTATTCTAAACAAAACACCAGCGTATTTGTATGATAAAATAACTTACAGAACAGATGTTCATAATTTAAATTTGAGGTTTAGGGGATTGATAAGTCCACCATTACACATTACATCTTTTTTCGAAAGATGCTTCACTTTTAACATCTACAAATTGTATAATCCCCTCCCAAATTCTCTAAAATCCAAAAATCTAAAACAATTTAAACGCATGTGCAAGTCAATCATGCTAGAAGCTCAGGTATAGTGGTCAGGTAGTGTGCTAAAATCGTAGATGTTACAATGTTACTGTTGCTAAACTTTATAATTTATGTTTTAATTTTACTATTTTTTTCTTTTTTCTTGTTACATGACGCATACAACTGAATTTATAACATTTATGTGATCATTTAAACAATCGTTATGGGTTGAGTGGGAGAGCAGCGAGTAATTTTTATTACAAGCTGAACTCCGCCCTTTGAGCTGTAATACTATCATTTTCCTTTCTACATTTTGCAGCTGCTACTCAATAAAGGCATTATTATTATTATTATTATTATTATATTTCATTGTTTCAGCGTATGTTGGAGACGAATATTTGTATATTCACCATCCATTGCCAACATGTGCTATTAGAACACCAGAAAGCGTCCGAGGTAGGAATTTACTAATATGAGTCATAATTTGCATTAATAGAATTTCGGTTTTGTAGAAGCTATAGCATGCCTACCAGCTTCTCTTGAATCACCCGTTGGTGCAGTGACACCAGGTGTTAAGAAGTATGGAAAGGTAACAGCGGAGAGAACGCTATTTTTCTCCAAACCGACCTCTACCATTGCACCAATTGCAATGGATGTAGATGAATTAGTGGGGATACAACCTATAACTGATCAATCTGTACCAACAACATCTCAATTTGGATGTTCAACGGAGTCCCAAAGATCTACAATGATTCCACGTAAGTTTATTGTCAAAACCAAAAATCTGATACAACTGAATATCAAACGATCCTCGAAATCTTCACGCATCCATCATTTTTATAACTACGTAGCTGAAAAACAATAGTAACCTTTATTATATCCATGTGTCCCAATTTTCAAAGCGATCGGACATTTCTAAACAAAGTTATCGTACACACAGATAGACCGACAGGCAGCAATACAAAATTATATACGATCTCGAGGATCGTAAATAAATATATGTGTAGTGATTGCCAAACAGCTGTCTGTATTCTGTATATTTTGTATATTCTGGCAGTAACAGTAAACACCCATAATGTTTTATATGTTTAGCATCTAATGCTAACAAACTAAATAGAAAATACTACACTCATCATTTGTGGATATGATTTTTGTGTAATTGGCATGATATCGATTAAGTCAAATATTAATCATTTTTCTATTTCAGGTAGTCCAAACCAAAAGAAACGGCAATATATAGGGATTGTAGTGTATTTTATTATACTTTAATAAAACGCCATCAAACATGTTTCATCTATCACGTCCGTACTCAACCTACTTTACTGTTATCCGTGCCAGCCAGGTATTCGTACAGCGCAAGACACATTTATTTATTACATCTTCCCCTAAAAATATAAAACTAAAATCTTTCTCACTAACTAAATACAATTCTACTTAAACTTAATTATACTTCCACCTTCACCTGAAAATACTACCTTATTCTATACCTTTAAACGCTCCACAGGTTTTACAGTTCTTCCATATTTTGTTACATAATCGTGAGATTTATTTGACACATCTAAGCTTAAATCTAATTCATTTTCATTTGACGGTACAACTTTAATTATCACTGACCTGGGAGTAGGTGCCGTGCCTATGACAGACCCTGGATGCCACTCGTTGCCGTATCTATAAGTAACCGGTTGGTTCGGTTTTACCTTATAATTTCGAATTTTAGAATTTCTATCATAATACGATTTCATTTCGCATTTCTTTTTCATAAGAAATTTAGAAAAATCTGCAACTAACTTTGGTTTCAACGAGTGATTAGAGATAGGCAAAAGTGTTCGGGTTTTCCGGCTAAACAACAATTGTGCGGGAGAATACGCTGACCCCATTACAGGCGTATTCCTGTATTCCAGTAAAATTTCTTGTAGATCCACATTTGCGTCTACTGATTTTTTAATAAATTTTTTACAAATACCAACATATCTTTCACTTAACCCGTTTGATTTTGGGTAATACGGACTACTTGTAACTAATTGAAAATTCCACGATTCCGCAAACTGCTTCAGATAAAAAGAACCAAACGGTACATTGTCTGCAATTAATTTTACTGGAATCCCGTGTATTGCAAAAATTTCTTTTAGTACATGTGCTATTTCTACAGAATCTTTGGATTTTAATAATTTTAATTCGACCCATTTAGAAAAATAATCAACTAAAACTAGATAATTTTTGTTTGCGTACTCTAATATATCGCAACCGATTATTTCAAAAGGTAATTCTGGAATTGTATGATATAACATGGGTTCTCTTGCATTACGATTACGATATCGTTGACATACCTTGCAGTTAGATATCAATCCTTCAATGTCAGAATTGATTCCCGGCCAATAAAACAAAGATTTCGCACGTTGTTTGGTTTTCGAAATTCCCAAATGAGATGAATGAACTTTTCTCAGAATTACTTCTTGCATTGTATTCGGAACTATAATTGCTTTATCTATAAATAGGAGACCATCCTCATATACGATACTATTGCGCTTGTTATAATAAATTTTGACATTTTGTGGCTTTGTGCTAATTTCGTGATTGATTTTGGCCACCCATTTTCGCAAAATTTAATTACATTTTGTAAAGCACTATCTTTACCAGTCTCCACCTGTAACTTTGTTTTCAAATTATCACTTACATTTACTACATGCACAACATCATTTAAGTCACAATCAATCTGCGTATTATCGGCCTTAGAACAAGCTCGACTTATCGCATCTGCTATATACATTTTACTTCCAGGAACGTACTTTACTTCGAGATCATAAACTGATAGTTTCATACTTATTCGTTGTAATCTATTGGAATTAATTTTGTTAATTTCTTTTTGCATAAGGGCAACTAACGGTTTATGATCGGTCTGGACTACTACTTTTCTACCGTAAATGTAGTGATGAAATCGCTTGCATGCAAATAAAATCGCCAAAAACTCTTTATCAATTTGCGCATACCG